ACATTGAAAAGGAAAATATAAATGATTTGAATAAGTCTCCAGTTCAAACCCTTATCATTAAGATTTCTTTCTGATATGGTCAATCACTCTCAATTTGGCAAGAAAGTAAATAAAAGTTATAAAATGATTAAAGAGTTGGTTTTAATTAATTATTGGCTTGAGCTTAACAAATCGGCAAACGACAATATATTTACTTTTTTTTAGTGATTATTGAAATAAACTCTTATATATATATATATTTGAAATAAATCTTCCTTTTTATGAAATTAGCTCCATGTCATCATTCCATTTTTTCTCTTACTATCTGATAAGTTTTTACTAGTTTGATAATTTTGGATTTTTTTTTATAACATGACATTTTCTTTATAGATAGTAAAATGAAATTAGTTAACTCTTTTTTTTTTATAGCAAACTTAATATTAAGAAAAAAAATATTATATCATTAAAAATAAAAGGTCCAAATTGCATAAAAAAAGTGTCCTCCCTATTAAAAAAACACATTTTGTTTAAATTAAATACTAACAATACATGAGAGAAACAGAGAAACCCAAAAACTAAGCAAAGGTAAAGACAGATAATGCTATTAGGAGAATGCTAAATGTCCTTAATGTTTTTTAAAATAAATTAATTAAAAAAAAAAAAAATCAATGATATGAGTACTAGTAGGTATAAACCGAATGGCTAATATCTCTTCCCTCCTTGTTATCATCTGGTTTTGTTTTGTCAACAAGTAAGTGAAGGGCATGTTTGGTGAACCGGAAAACCTCCCATAGTCACCTCTCAATACATTACTCTCTTTTTCTATTCAGGAATCAGGATTCCTCCCACACTTCCTCGCCAATATCATCTCCCTTTTCTCTTTTTTTACCATCGCTAGAGTACCTCTCTGGGAAAGCTAAGCCAATCAGAAACAACAGCACTAGCAATTTCGGGAAGAAAGGCATGTAAATAAACAAGAGCAACAGGCTCTGCTGCCTAGGGGCCGGCCGGTACCTGAAGTGGTGGTTGATTATTCCCGAAAGCAGAAGCAATTGGTGAAGAAGCAGAGGCGAACGTGGCGGAGGAGCCAGTCTATGGTCTCCCCTACAGTGTGGTGATGGAGCTCCCCGGTTCAGTTGGAAGATAGCTGTCGCGCACAGGGGTGTGAGGCAGGTACAGCAGCTACGACTGGTGGCCCTCGGAAGGTCGTTTGGCGGATGGCGGGGGATTGTTGGCAGCCGCCATTGAAGTTACTCCAAAAAACTACTCTGTTTTTGCAGAGCAAAAATTATAGGTTTTAGATTAAGTATTCTGAGAAGAATAAAAGGATCTGACGACGAATAAAAATAAGAACAACCCAATAGGAAAGGAGGAAGGTATTGCAAAAAAGGTAAACAAAGAATAAAAGAAATTAATTATGATGAAAAACCAAACTAGAAGATTTAACCAGTACTTCGTAAATCATTTGCAAGTTGCAGCACAAGGGAGGTGACATACATTTTACAGGTGTTGCCCTTGAACTCACACGGAACATAAAACAGTAAATAAAATTTCAAGCAAAGGAGGAAAATCCTTGCACTGCCAATGACTAAGGCTGATGAGCATCAGGTTTGTTATCCAAGGTCTCTCTTGCTTTTAGTACATCTGGGTGAAATCGGCTGGCAAGAATTTCAACTTGTTCAGGAAAGGACTGGGAACCGTGATGACCAATGTGTTGAACCATTTGGCTACATCGCTTTCGATATGTATCTCCAGACCTATGCTCCAGAAGATTATCCCAATCAACATCTTCCATGCAGCAAGCATCCAAGCTAGAGAGAGCATCCAGAAGCCGATAGTCATCAGCATCTGCCCATTTACCTTCTGCTACCATATGTGATGCTAGTTGGCAATACCATTTCGAGCAGCAAGCAGAGAAGGTTCTTGTTGACAACTTTTCACTAATTGCTTCCCAACATATATTATCTCGCAACATTCCATGCTTTGATTTCTTTTCCTCAGTGGCCTTCATACACAGAATCCATGTTTACTAAATCAAATAAAGTCTGGTACTCTTCTTGAGACCATGGTCCTCTCTTTCTATTGGTCAATTTTATTCTACGCCATGTATCTTTCACATGTAACCTATGCCTCCCAAGTACTTTAGCCAAAGTTTTCCACTTTGTTCCATGTTCTTCAACATACTTGCGAATCATTTCATACTCTTCAGCACTCCATTTATGCTTCTCATCCCTTTCAAAAAGGATATGGGCTTGGTAGTACACGCTAGAGGTTGGCCTCCAGGGTAAGGCTGCTCCCATTTCCTTCCAACAATTTCTAACTTCTGGGTGAGATTGACAATTCAGAATCATGTTTAGACCATCTTTACCTAACCCATGCAGCTCTATATTGTTGGAAATTGCCTTCTCAAGTATCTTATCTTCTTCTTTTGAGAATCGCTTTCCATGCACCAAGTTGTCTTCCCCATTCTTGTTTGCCTCAATCTTATCACTAACTTTAATTTTCTTATGCTTCTTTCCAGCCTCTTGAGATTTCTTCTCATCCTCATTGAGCTCCAATTTCCTCTTTTTTGTTCGATGCTTCTTTTCATGAATAACCTGGTTTTCTTCACCCTCCATCACAGCCTTGCTGTCCACAGCACTTATTTCAATAAAATCATCCTGATGCTCCTCTTTGTTCTTGATCTTCTTAGAAATCATATTGGTAAATTTGGAATAAATGTCCCCATTCCCAGC